TTTTATCTAAAATTGCATGTGATTATTTAGTAATTCAAGCAACAAGTGTTGCTTCAGAGCAAGCTTTTTCTATTGCTAGTAATACAATTACAAAAATATGCAATAGATTACATTCTGAAACAGCTAAAACATGCCTTTGTTTAAAGAGTTGGATTCAAAATGGATTATTGAAAGACAAATTAAATAAGGAAATTGAAAAAAAAAGTGGAGGGTCGGAGGGTGAAATTATAGTAGTTAAAGATAATTAGTATAAATTGAATATATATCAATATATAGAGTAATTGTAATTTTGAAATTTAATGAACATTATTCAATAAAATAATTTTTCGCGGCATTTAAATTTTATTTGTTTAAAATTTTTTTTTGTTAGATCGACGGTCTAAAAGACCGGTCTAAATTAAAAGACCGATGATCTTATGAGACCACTGGTCTCGGTCTCAATCCAATCTTTTTCAAAAGACTGCTAAAGATCAGACCGGATCGGACCGGATCGGACCGTTCCCAACCCTATTTGTCACAACTTAATTTATCGATTATAAGGTAAACACGTGAGCTATATATAGAACACGACACGTTGATCGTGGGATTTTGTGGTCATCAAAAACACCCTAACGCGTCTCTATAAAAAGAACCGTTAAATATGTCTTCAGTTGCTTCTACAACAACTCTTCTGCTTCTGTCCTTGTATGTTAATTTAATGAAAATTATGCCTGCCTGTTTCATATTTGGGAGAAACGTAAAATTAAATCGTTCTTCTCTGTAATTGTTATTTTGTCAAAGTCCTCTATTCAAAACTCCGTCGATAAAGATTTGGTCATACCATAAAGAGCTTTGTCAATTCGGAGTGCTCACGTCGTGAAGATTAATGGGAAGGAGTGTTTAGTACTGCAAGGAGGTGCGTAATCTTTGTTTGTTTTACAATACACTTTTATAGCAGAATCCCTTATTATTTTCATTTCTTATAGAAACGCGACCTCTCAGAATAGAAATCGAAAGAGAACGATCCTCTCCATTTCGATGACGCATCCTTTGGGGATGCTGCAAAAAGTGATCTAAGGTCGGCGAAAAGCCGGAGAAAAATCTCCGAATCAGGAGCGTTTATAAAATGGGGATAGGAATAAACCTGTAAGTATAGATTGTATGCCCTTGAAATTAGGCAATGATCGAGCTATATGATTAACTCATTACTTGTACATAGGTTCCACAACCATCATCGCCTTCACAAATATCCCTGGCATTAATATGGCCCCATAACTCCTTTCCCTTTTTCATCAAGACCTCTCCACCTAGTAATAAAATTTCCCTTGTATTCTAATTAAGTTTCGCTTAAAATAAGGTCTAGATAGATAATTTTTATATTTTCTATTTTTACTTGTATAAATTGAGATTTTATAAAACATTCGCACCATCCTTTTCAGTTTTTTTTTTTGTTGTTATTTTTATTATATTACAAAAAAAATTTATCAAAATGGCTATTAATTTTCTTGGCAAAAAAAGTTCTCACAAACAAGTGATTTGTCTGAAACATGTGAGATGCGAACTCTGATTATATTTCATAAGATTGCCAAAAAAAAAAAAATACTTAATCCTCTCCTTTAGGCTAAAAATTATTTTCCATAATATAGTATATAAAAAAATGTTCTGAAAAGGATGCTGAACTGCTGTGCACAACGAATAATAATTTTACTCAAAATCATTATTTAAAGGTTGCCTTTCCAACTCATAGAAGCCAATTCTATTGAGGCAATTTAATTTTTTTTTATAAAAATTACACAGATAAGATAAAATTTATTATTAAATGGACATCGAAGACATCATTAATTTGTACAGGTATTTTTATTTTGATGAGGGTCATTCAATTCTCCTTAAACAACTACCTCCTTTGCTAATAGATTTATTAGATAAAGCAAGCTAAATAAATACAATATTAAAAGAGTATTAAATATATGGTTGAAATTACCACTTGGCACTAGTTGAAATTTCATTTAATCTACTTATAAGGTTCATTTAATAATTTGTGTCTTTTATAAGTCGGAAACGTGAACCTCCAATGCCATTATTTTTAATTTTATGCAGTTCTTTTTTGAAGTTCCAAAATAAGTTGTATTTATAGATTACATTAACCATAAAAAATTTTTGGGGGAACTTTAAAGGAAAAAAAAAGCCCCCGGTTGAAAATAAATACTGATCAGTTAAAACGCCCCTTTAACTAACTCAGCCATTGTTTTTTTTTTGTTTTTAATCTACACGTGATTTTAAATCAATTTTGTCATTTTCTCTATAATTAGATATGAAAATCAGTATTTCTTTATATATCATTTTGTATGTGGGGGTTAATTAAAAAAATGGTGTTTGAACATGTCTATAAATAATGTCAAAAATAATGCACAAATCATTTATATTTGTATAAATTGTATCACTTTAAAAATTTTCTAATACCAATAAAAGTTGAACTATATAATAACGATTTTCGGTTCTATCCCTTTTTATCTCAAATTCTCTCTTTTTTCATTCTTTTAAAACTAAAGTTTTTTTTCCTTCGTTTGAATTTATTTTCTATATCAAAGGTATTGCTGCAATGTTTTTTTATATATCCTTTTTTTTTTTTTTAGAAAAAAAATGTACTAAAAAGACTTTATTATACAAAAAAAAAAGTTAAGCATATAATATAATTAGACTACATTTTAAATAATGCGTACTCCATCACGAAAAGCGACAATTATTTTTGTTGGCATCTTACTTTTATTTTTATTATCTTTTGTTTCCGCAGAACTAGATAAAAGAGGTAAACTAATGACATTACTTTTCATATTCATTATTAAGAAACAATGTGTGATTTTAAATGCATTAACTCGACATTAATAATAGATCCACAAGAAGAACCACCAAAAGAGCCAGCTGATGGTGGTAATGGCAAACAACCAGCTGATGGTGGCAATGCCAAACAACCAGCTGATGGTGGTAATGGCAAACAACCAGCTGATGGTGGTAATGCAAAACAACCAGCTGATGATGGTAATGCAAAACAACCAGCAGCAGGTGGTAAACAACCAGCAACGAAACAACCTACAGCAGGAAGTAATCCTGTAAATGGAACGGATGTACCACCACCATATGATCCTTTAATGCCAACAGTACAAGTTCTAATTACTGAACCAAAAGTAGCAAAAGATATATTATATAAAATAGGAGCAAATATTACGTTTGAGTGGAAATATAGTTCAAGTTTCTATATTAAACCAAAATACATTATGGTTAAAGCGCAACCAAGTATAAACCTAAAATCTTTTTTTACAATAGCAAATATTACCGTTAATGAAACGCAACACGTGGTTTGGAATACTGCTGCTGAAGGTACTTTACCTATGTCTAAATATAAATTATTGATTAGTGATGAAGGAGGCATGGATGCTATTCCTAAAGCTGGTGCTCTTCAACCCTTTTCAAATTTAATTTTTGGTTTATATCAATCACAAGATTATGGTAAGTAAAAGATAAGTGATTTTCATCGTGAAATCAAAGAAATATGCTAATTTTTTTTCGAAATTGTGTAGAACCATTTTCTTGTCCAAGTTGTAGCAATGTTGCTACTTCAAACCAAATAATTCCATTATTTAATACTATTGGTTTAACATTAATTACAATAATGTCATTAAGTTTTATACTGATTTAAATTATTAGTTGATGAAAAGGTAATATACATGGACTATTTTAAACTGACATTTTAAAACAAAGAATTGTTAAGTTGACAATGAACAATAGGCAAATATATTCTCTGTTATATTTGAGGAAAATGTATTAGATAAAAAAAAATTTTTTTTTAATAATCAATAATTGTGCTCTAATTTTAGTTTAGAAATTTAGGGATAATTTTACCCATTATTTTATATTTTATAATTTTTACTTTTTTTTTTAATTTGATCTTATTATTCAATAACATCTTATTTATTAGGCTAGCCATAGAATTCATAAACGATATAAAGCGTTCATTTCAGAAGCTTTTTCAAAAACGCCAGCCAATTGGAGATTGCATTCTTCTTGAAATAATAAATTCAAACGTTCTTACTATATAATTTTTATCATAACAAAAAGGATTATATAAAAAATTTTCTTTTCACTATAATAATAATATTAAAATAATAATTTTTTATCGTTGGATATTTTTTCCTTTAATAACTAATTCAATTTCTTCTTGTGAAAGAGTTTCATAATCCATCAATGCTTTTGCTAATCTATGTAACTCTTCTTTATGGGTTTTTAATAAATTACTTGCACGCATTTGAGCATTCTAAACAATATATATATATATGAGTATCAATATATAGAAATATTCTAAAAACACTATAATAACTCACCTCTGTAAGTGTTTTAATTTCAGTTTCTATGACTAATTTAGTTTGTGTACTTAATTGCTCCATCTCTTCTTCTGGATGTGCTACTGGTCCAACCTATAAAATTTTAATTTAATTTGAATATTAATATACCTAATTGCATACAAAAAATGTGTATTGATTTATTTACCTTATCACTCATTCCAAATAATGTAACCATACGTTTAGCTACATTTGTTGCTGTAGTGATATCATTGTGAGCACCTGTTGTCACATTTTCTTTACCAAATATCATTTCTTCTGCAACTCTACCACCCATAGCAACATCTATCATTGCAAGATATTCTTTCTTGGTATAACTATCTTTATCCATCTCAGGTAATTGAACAGTCTAAATTAAAAATAAAATAAAAATACATCCAATAATTTTTTTTTTAAAATAGATTGTAAATTATTTCTTACTTACCATTCCCAAGCTATTACCTCGTGGCATAATTGTAGCTTTATGTAATGGTAAGGCTCCCGGTGTATATAATGCTACAAGTGCATGACCACCTTCATGATATGCAGTTAATCGTTTACTATCATCTGTAATTACGGCAGACCTGCGTTCGGCGCCCATGATTATTTTATCTTTGGCATGTTCCATATGACTCATTGCTACTTCAAGTGAACCATCCCTCGAAGCTTGTATTGCCGCTTGATTAACTAAATTGGCTAAATCAGCACCCGAGAATCCTGGTGTACCACGTGCAATTACACTAATTTTCACATCTTATGGATATATTAAATAAGTTAATTCGTTTTTTTAATCTTGTAATTCAAAGAAATGACTATACTTACCACGTGACAATTGGACATTTTTTAAATGATGTGACAAAATTTGCATCCTACCACGAACATCTGGGAGGGGAACTTCAACATGTCTATCAAATCGACCGGGACGAACTAATGCCTTATCTAAAAGTTCCGGAAAATTCGTTGCCGCAATGAAAATAACTCCTTCAGTTTGTGAAAACCTACAATTATCATTCAACAAATAAATAAAGTAAATACTTTTTTTAATAAAAAAAGCGTAGAATAATGATCAAAACCTACAAACCCATCCAAATCGACCAATAATTGGTTGAGTGTCTGTTTCATATATGTTTGATCTTTGGGATTACGCTTTGAGCCAATCGCATCTAACTCATCAATAAAAACTATACTAGGCGCTTTGCGTCTTGCAGCAGCTATATAACAATTCGTTATTAACAAAATAAATAAATTCGTAAATTAATACAAAAGTAAGTTATAAATAAAATTATTTACCAAAAAGTTCACGAACTCTCCTGGCTCCAACTCCAACGTACATTTCATCAAATTCAGAGCCTGACATGAAAAAGAATGGTACACCTGCCTCACCGGCAACGGCACGCGCCAGCAATGTTTTTCCAGTACCTGGAGGACCAGTTAATAATACTCCTTTAGGTAGCCTACCTCCTAAACCAGTGAACTTTGATGGATCTCTCAAGAATTCAACTATTTCTTCTAATTCCTCCTTGGCTTCATCAACACCATGAACATCAGAAAATTTAACCACCTGTTGAGATGATGGTTCATATTCTGACTGTGATCCGCCCGTTTTTAAGAGACCGGAATTTTCCATAGCGATACTAAGGAAGGTAAGTATACAGAAAGCATACGTAAATGTAATTCCTACCCAACGTAACGCGCGCCAAAACATGTATCCACGCGCTAAACGATCAAAAAAAAATAAAAAATATATAGTTGGAATGGTATATATCTATATATTTTTTACTTATAATTATTTAAAAAAATAAAATCATAAATATAAATAATTTCTATAATACCTTCTTCAACTACAACATATATCGGGTTTTCTTTATTTCCAGCATTTGCTGCTATTGTTTCTGAACTACTTTCTACTGTAGCTTTCTTTCCCTGACTTTTCATAATGCTTTGTACTAAATCTGTTGTTAAAATTGTTTTACCTGTTTTAGTAAACAACTATTAATCAATATTTGAAATTTTTAAAAGAAAATTCGTTTTTTTTATGTGTATACCTCCTTCTGTTCTAGTTTGTTCTAATTTTTGCATAATTTTCGGCAAAATTTTATCTGTTTGACCAGCTTTAACTAAGGCGGCAACATAAGCTTGAAAACATTCATCATCTTGAGCAAAATTTCCACGCTCAAACCGAGCAATGACAATATTATGGTTATTTGATTTTATTAATTCCTAAATGATACAACAAAGAAATATAAATAAAAATTTAAAATAAAAATTACTAACATAATAAATTAGATAATCGCCTACTTTATAAAATTCTGCTTGCTTTGATGCATCATTAGGAGATGCATTGGCTTCAGCCTCTAATAACTGCAATCTTCGCTGATTTACATATCTTACAGCAGAATTCGATCCAAAATACCTACGACTATTTCCCAAATATTGGATAGCAGAACCTAATGAATAAATTATTTCAATTATTTTTTCATTAAAAATAAAAAGTTTACACATTGTGACAATGCTATATGTCTACCTTTTCTAAGGAATGATTGAGAAGTTGATATTCCAAAATTTTCTCCTCTTAATAGTCTAAGAGTAGACAATGGTGATAATCCCGTCAATCTCCCTATTAAAGATTGACAACAAAAAAAATTTCAAAACAAATATCAAAAAGAAATTACAATTAGCAATAATAAAAGGTTGCAAACCCGAAAATTGTGACAATAAATTTTCTACTTCAATAGGTTGAAATGAAGGATCCGTTTGTAAAATCGAAATATCATCTGCTAGCGCTGACGTAGTTATTGATGGAATATCCTTATTATGTCGTAAGCATTCCGGAAGATCGCTTACCTAAATTAAGTTTTTTCAATAATATGAAATAAACTTGTAAATAAGATAAAACTTTAAATTACCTGTAATGTTGAACGGGTAAGGATTGATGGAGAATCGGTAACTTTGTTCTTTGACGAAACAGAGACTGAAGAGGGAGTAACTTTTACTGATTGTAGGATCAAGGAAGTCTCAAAGAATAGCGCAGAAAGCTTCGAATATTTTATAGAATATTAGAAATTGAAACAACAAATCCATCGCGGTTAAATAATATTATATACCTGCTGTGTCAAGGAAACTGTACCCTGAGCTTGCATTAGACAATGACTTTATTAGTCAAAAATAACCGTGAACGGTCAGAAAATAAAACAAAAAAAAATAATAGGATATTAACTAAGAGGACCGATTGAGGGCTTACTAAATCACAAAAATCTATCATCTTATGATTGGAAGGAATTGATTGGAAGGAATCGATTGAATTGATTAAAGTTGTTTAAAACTGGATTTGATGATCTTCCAAACAATGGCGTAATATATTTAGTTTTTATTGATCCGTTATATATATTTAATTATTTTTATCTGCTAATTATTTTAACAGTAAATAAATTATTAATTTAAGTTTATCTAATTTAAAATGTTATAGATAGGATTCTATAAATTAAAATATAAATTAACAAATTGAATATTGTGATCTATTAATTATAATAAAGTTTATATTTTAAGTTTATATTTTAATATATTCAATTTATAAATTAATATTTTTTATTTAGTATAAGGTTTATTCACATAATAAAAAAAAAAAAAAATCTTATAATATCTTAACAAATATGAGTGGAAGAAAATTTTTATAAGCTAAATATGATTTTATTAATAAATAAGTCTAGATTTAACAATTTAAAATTTTTTTTGGAGATTTCTTTCTTTTTATTACAAAGTATTTATATTTTTTATATCTTTTAATTTTAATTTCTGATTTATTAATAATAAATTTTTTCTATATTATATTTAATTCATATTAAATATATTAAATTAATGTAATAAATATTAAAAATAGTATATATAATAATAAATTTGCTATTTTTATATTATATATTTTATAATAACTATAATAATCTTATATTATAACTAAAAAAATAAAATAATATTAATATAATATTTCAAATAATAATACTACTTATTAAATAAATTATTACAGTATAAGAATATTTAAAGTTACTTATTTTTTAGTATTAATAATAAAAATTATAGCTTATTTAATTTATTAAATACTAAATTAAAATATAAAAATAAAAACAAAAAAAAACTAAAGAAAAAATCAAAAAAATCTAAATTATGAAAAGAAAATCTAATTATAATTTAAGTAAAAAAGAATAAAAGATATAAAAAAATTTAAGTTTATTAAAATAAAAATATATAATTAAACAAATCTATTTGATCTTATATTTTAATAAACTATTAATTATAAGTAAAAATAATATTGTAATTATTAATCTAGATTGAAATATCTTAAGTTACAACTAATTGTAGACTTTATATTATAATTCTTATATTAAATTTCAGTAACTAGTTGCAATCTAATAGATATTATAAATACATAAATACATATAATAAATATGATTCAGATAATTGACTAATCTGATAAATCTGATATATTTGATATTTCTACATATTTAATATGATTAAATATAATATATGATTTTTATCGTTCTACATATTTTATTTATATATATATACTTTAAAATCATGTAAATATTAGGAATTCTTAAATTAAATTAATTATAAATAGAAATATAATTATTATTATTTTATATAATATAAATAAATTTATTCTTTTTTTATTTTATACTAATAAATAATTTCAATTAATTATACAGTTAAACCTTTATATAATAAATTTCTATATTTTGAATTTTTTGTTATTGTAAATTTCATGGTAGTTCTGAATTTTATTAAATAAAATAATTGAATATAACAAATTTTTATAATAAAACTTATTATTATGTACAATGAATTAAAAATCTTATATTAAGTATAATAAATAAAACTTTTGTTAACAAAGTTTTTTATATAACAAATTTTTATATTAAATTTAAGAAATATGGCAAATTTTTTCTTGTATTACTATTAAAAAAAATATTAATTTATAACTTTTAATAAAATATAAATTAATAAATTAAATATTTATAAGTATATAATACAATATGTAAAAATATTAAATCAAATTTTTAGCTGTGATTTTACCTATATAGTAAAGCAAATTATCATTATTTAATAAATTTCTATAGGGATTAATTAGTATAGAACCTCAAATTAATTAATATCAAACCTAAAATTAACCAGTGTTAAATTAATAGTGATTAATTTGTTGATTTAATTTATTTAATGTCTATAATTTAAATTGAAATTGCTGAAAATTTTAATTGTAAAATAGTAAAATTGCAAAATTTTCAATTGCAAAAACTATGTATAATAAGACCTTTACAGTAAGTATGTATTGATATTATAATAATTGCATATATCAATAAACCTTTATGTTTTATTTATAATTGATAAAAAAACCTTCTTATACTAATATTATATATAGAAGTATTTTTAGTAAAATCAGATTGTGAATTATATGATTTACTATATCTTATAATTTGATTTTACTGAAAACGTTCCCATATAATTTCATAATATACATATACTAATATTTTCTTTATTTCTTTATAATTAATATATAATAGGATGTAATAATATTTTAGAATATACTAGCATAAAAGCTTACATAAATTTTAATTTGTAATATAATTAATAATAGTAATGATAAAAATAATAATACTTGTTATTTGTGATTGTGTAATATTTATAATATATGATTATTACTTATCATTATTTGAGATATTTTGAATAAAAAAGAATGAGTTTATCAAAACAAATAAAAATTATATATAAAGTAGAATTTATAGGATAGTAGTCAGCATAGTGATAAAATATAAGTATTTTTTTGTGTAATTTTTATGAAATCCAAAGAGATTTTTATCTTTAATAAAACTTTCTTTTTTAAAATAATTACTTTTGAAATATTTTTCTTTAAAAGTAAATATTTATATAATGATTTCTTTAAATATTATATTTTTAGAATAATTCTTTTTAAGCAAATGTTCTAAAATAATTCTTTTGAAGAAAACATACTAATAAAAAATTTTCTTTAAAAATATTTCTAGAATATTTTCTTTAAAAAAATATATTTTCAAAAATATTAACTTTAAAGAAAAATATTTAAAGCATTAACTTCAAAATCTAATGTTTAGATGTATTTTTTCTTTAAAGTTTAATATTTTAGATGTGTTTTTCTTTGAAAGAATTATTACTAGATGTATTTTTAATACTATTAGATTTTTCTTAATAAAATATATAAGCTAATAAGTTAAGCTATACTATAAGTTAAGTTATAATATAAGTTAGTTTAATCAGTTTGTAAGCTTTTTTAAAGTAGTTTAAGCTAAACTTTATTAAATTAACTTTTAAAGTTTGTAAGATAGCTTAGTTTATACAGAATTTTATAATAGTAATATATTTAAAACTCAATAAAATATATATTGAGAATTGTTATATTTCTTGAAGTTTTATTTATAGAAGATAAACTAATACTTTTAAATTTTTTTAAAAAAAAGGTTATAATATTAATTATAAAATTTTATAAGAAAAATAAAAAAATAAAATTTATAAATAAAAGGAAGAATAAAGAAACAAAATATAGAAAATTTTAATAAGTTTAAGAGTATATATAAAAATTAATTATATGTACTTATTATAATAAATTTCTAAAAATAAAATTATTATTAAATTAATAATATAATATATAATATTTTTTAAATAAGTTAATTGTAATTTTTTTTTATATTTTAAAAAAAAAAATTATTCTAAGTTAATAAATTTGGAAAATCTATTAGTTAAATAAAATATAACCTCAATATTAAATAACTTATTAATTTATAAAAATAAAACTTTTTAGTAAACTAGATACTTAGTAAAGATTATTTTATATCTAATTGTTGAAGTCTAAAAGTTTTTAAGAATTATTAAAGATAAATTATAATATTATATAATATTTGTAATATGACTTATCTTCATTTTTATACATATAATTCTTTTATTAATTTAAAAATTTTTATATAAAATTTTTTTAATTTAACTATTCTTTTTTAAGGTAAGCAATTTCTACTTTATTAGTTTAGTTTTGGCTCAGTTTTATTTATTTGAATAAGAATATTAAATTCATTCTTAACATAATAATTCATTTTAATTATATTTTAAATAATGAAAAAATTAAAGAGTATTATCATTATCATATTATGTTTATTTTCAAAACCAATCATATAATGTTAGCAAATAACTCTAAAATGATTTTTGAAATAGCCTAAAATGACCTTAAATAATATTATTTTAATAAAAATTTCAAGTCAAAATAATTAAGATTATTTAAAAATAATAATAAGCTTATAACTTATTATTACTGACTAATCAATATAATGATTCTAATATTACTTACAATGGAGTAAACATCTATTTTGATGTAAAAATTATCATAAATCATATGAGGCTTTTTGCAATAGAAAGAGGAAAACTGCTCGGAAAAATCAATTTACTTTTTTTTATATGCTAAATGATTTTTGAGACAAAATTTGTTCAAATTTAGTATTATCTCATAATTTATTTTTCCAGTAGTCTATTGCAAAGATCATATATATAAAAGTAGATAAAAAATATGTTTTTTGCTAAATATAATTTAAATAAGTTTTAAAGATAAAGATTTTAAATTTAAAGATCATAATGAAATATACTTAAGTTTGCGCATATCATTATTTCCATTTGATTATTATATAAAAATCATATACTTTGAAATGAAATGCAACAATGCTTAAAAGGTGTAATATGATAAAAACAGAAATTTTAAAAAGAATAAAAAATATTTTTTAGAATACTAAATATTTATAAATATTTATATGAAGCATTATTATCAAACTTCTAGCTTTATTTTTGTATCGAGCTTACAAAGAAAATGAAATCAGCTTTTGGGAACATAGGCTTAATTGAACTGATATAGAAGGAAATTTCCCTAAAAAGATCTGAAAGTTTATTATTAACATTAACGTAATACCATAAACGTAAATTAAGTACCATCTCGTTTTTTAAAAAAAAAACTCCAAAGCAAAAAATATTTTTTTAAAGGCATTCATTTATTTGCAGAATTTGGAAGGGAATTAAAAAGGATTCTAAGTTATTAAAGTGTGAAAATAAAAAAATTTAAATAGAACCGTTTTGCAATAGCTTAGTTATTTCGAAATAGTAACGCTAACTTTTGATAATCTCATTTTTTGGATTGAATTAACGTTAGAAATTATTTTAAGAATATATTTTTATTATTAATTGTAAAGCAAAAGTATAACTATTAATTAAGAAAATCAAAATAAAATGCAATGTTTTAATAATACGCATTAAATCTATTGGAACTTCCTGTTGTCTGGCTAGATAATCCTGAACACCGCGTAAGCTTCATTCAGGAAAAAAAAACTTTAAGCGAAAAACTGGAAAAAAAAAATATAAAGTGAAATTATGAGAAAGGAAAATAATGAAGAAAGTGGAAAAAGAGAGAAAAATGGTTTAAAGTTTAGCATGTCTGTATACTTAAAACTTGCTGGTTGGTATAAGAAAATTTTTAAATTTTTTTTTTACGAATAAATATAAAATGTGAAGTTTATAATATTATAATCAACCAAGCCAAGTAAAAAAAACCGATGAATTCAATTTATCAAAATATGAGGATTTTCCGAAGTAAAACTTCCGGGTATAACTTTTTAACCGGCCTTAAGAAATAACCTAATACCAACAGTTGAACATTTGTGTACTGTATTACAAATGTAATGTAATTATGACGAATCAATGTGTTATTGATTGGCTATTTCCAGTTTATCCTTCCGCAGATTCTCCATATTACAATAATACATACACTTTACTATCAGTTGAAACGTCAATGATAGGACCATACGATAACTAGTATATACTTGGTACCAAGTTGCTTAGTTATGATGGCTAACGAACAACCACCACCCACCAATTCAAATTCGCCCGGGTTGCAGGGAGTGCCAGACATGGAAAAAGTAGTTAATCCAACCTCCTTGAACGATGTGCGACAGCCTTCACAACAAACGGATGCAAATGGTAGTCAAACTTATCAAGCATCTAGTAAAGATTGGGAATCAATAAAAGTTTCAAAAAGTGGAGCTAATATATCAAATTCAAGTGGAAATAACGTACTTAGTCTTGGTAATGAAACCTTGGTCACTGGTCATCATCAAAGAATTCTGATTTCTAATAAAAAAACTGATTTGAGTGTGCTGACTAGTTTTCAAAATGCTTCAAATTTTGGACAATATTCTCCAGCGAAAAGACCACCTGGTTTTAACAATATGAGTAATGGGACATCGGGAAATACGAATGGTGGAGAATACAACAACAGAGCTTCTTTTGGTCATAATTCAGAAAATTCTTCCATTCCAGTAGGATCAGGATATATTCGTAGTAATAGCATTTCAGTAATACCTCAAAGTGTACACAGTGGTGAAGAGGGCTTAGCGTACCAACAAACTCAACAGACTCAACAAAACCTATATACTTCTTACGGTAATTCATTTCTTGCAACATCACCTCCCCCGCGAGCTGGTAAAAATAATTCTGGTTTTGGAGGTATTCAATAAAATTATTCAATAGCGAGAAAAGTGGATCAACTTATTAACCTCATTTATTTTACTTATATAAACATTTATTTTTTTTATCGCATAGGAAATTTTGAAAATTCTTATTTTGAGTCCACTCTTATTAAAAATCCTCTATCCGCGTTAGCCGAAGATAATGATCATGATTGGGATAGAGTGATCCGGACTCCCGGACTCGAAGATTCGCCAAAGGTTTGTTAAAAGTGATAAATAAAAAATTATTTTATCATGGACAATTTTATGGATAGTTAATATCAACTTTTTAAGAAAAAAAAAAATATATATATAAATATATATAATTCACGGGAATATTTTAAGATATGAATAACGCTTAAATTTCGTTTATTTTTATCAAAGGAATCCATTGTTTATAAGCCTTTGCGATCTGTAACATTACCATCACAAAACGAACTCAATAACAATGTTTATCCATCTAATGTCGCGACTGCTGCGACTTCACCCTGGATACCATCATCTAGCTTTACACCTCAAAATTTAACTAATCTTTCGTCACATGCATTGAACAATAATGGTGGATATTTTCCACCTCAAATACAGCAAAATAATGATCAGTATACGGGTTACAATGGTGGGTTGTTTGGGTCTAATATCAGAAGATCATCCACTGCAAACAATAATCAAGGCAATGGCCTTATTCATGATGATAACAGTCATGCAAAATTTGAACATGGTTTGGGAGGACCTTTAGACTATTATGAACCAAATATATCTTCACCATCTTCCCCAACTGGTTTTTATCCTCAATCACAAATGCATTATTCTTTTAGGTCGTTTGGAAATGCTTTACAACAACAACAACATCATCAACAACAACAACAGTCACAATCACAACAGTCACAACAATCTCAACAATCTCAACATCAGCAACTTCAAATGCAAATACAGCAACAGTATCAGCAACAACTTATTCAACAACAACTTCAACTTCAACAGCATAAGCAGCAACAACTTAAACAAAAGCAAAAACCAACGCAAGCAGATCTTGCCTCAACATTTCGTCTACCGTCGTGGAGCACATCTGTAGCATCAGAGAACTCTCAACGTCGACGTTTAGATGGAAATGTGGATATTGTATCTGATGATGTTGTTACTGGAAGTATGGCATTGTATGATCCAAGTAATGATGATATTATACTTCCACAACGTGATACGGGGAAATATAAGGAGAATAAGGACTTTGGGTTAAAATTAGACATTCGTAGTCTTCAAACACCAAATTTATCTGCCCCTCCTGGATTAGAGGGTATTCGTAGCCCGACATCGCCAAGATCTGGAAGTATACTTACTTCCCCTACGCTTAATTCGGATCATATTGAACATTATTATAGCCCAACATTAGCTGGACTTACTTCTCCTACCTTAGCAAGCATTAACGCTTCAAATCAAAACATTTTGTTAGGTGGTGTTCGGGAAGATTTATCAGGAAATGTTACTAGTAATCATTCAATTGCTGATTTAACAAATTCATTGAACAATATGAGTATGGGCGGTTCGAATGGTAATGTAGTTTCTGATATGGGTAATGTGACATCACCAGATCTTTCAGCAGTTCAAGTACCTGGATCTGCGGTAGCACCTAAACAACAGGCCAAATTATCTTGGGCCGCTATTGCAAAAACTGCTCCTAAGCCACCTCCCGTAAATACTTCACCTGAGGTACTTGGTACGGCGGTTGGTGCTTATAGTGCTGCAATTTCATCATCTGCGGTATCACCGACTTCAACATATGCAACTAGGCCAATGTCTGCCCCAACTGGTGCGTGGGCTAGTAAGGCAAATATCGTTGGAACACCTACAGGTAATGGTATGAACAATCTTTTCGTTACATCGAGTGCAGGACTTTCAACTCCAACCGGTTTAGGACCTCTTTCTATTCCGACCGCACCAGGAATATCCAAGAAAGATATGTCATCATGGGTTTCGGCTAAGGGATATAATCCCAAATCTTTTAACTTTAAACCAAATCACGTAAGATCTTTATTTTTTTTATTATTTTTCTTGATGTATTAATATTTATCCTGAAATACTATAAAATTAGGCAAGATATTTTGTTATTAAGTCTTACACTGAAGATGATGTCCATAAATCTTTAAAGGTTTGAAATCAGTGATATTAATGTGTGTTGATATTATCGCAATAATTTTAATAAATTTTATTGTAACGTAACTAAAATTTGTTATTTCATAATAGTACGACATTTGGGCAAGTACTGAAATTGGAAATCGACGTTTAGATAAGGCCTTCCGCGAAAGTGCTGATAAAGGCCCAATCTATTTATTCTTTAGTGTAAATGCTAGGTAATTTTGATATTTTAATTGATTTTATAAGTATTATAATGATTTCATTTGTTTCGTAATGTATTTATATTCTTTTCAATGCGTAGTGGACATTTTTGTGGCATGGCACAAATGCTTACCCCTGTTGATTACACTACTAGTAGCAGCGTCTGGGCTCAAGATAAATGGAAGGGTGTCTTCAAAGTAAAATGGATTTTTGTAAAAGATATTCCCAATGGACAGCTAAGGCATATAAGAGTAGTGTATGTATTACTTTGATAATTATAATTTGTTTGTTTTAATAAATTTGATTCTCTGATTCCATATGATTATATTTTTTGTAGAAACAACGAGAACAAACCAGTGACAAATAGCCGTGACACTCAGGAATTATTTCCTGAACCTGGACGTGAGATGTTAAAGATATTTTTTGAGTACCGTAGCAAAACATCAATATTGGATGATTTTGAGTTTTATGACAAACGACAAGTTGAAATGAGAAAAGACGGGATTGCACCATTGGTTGGACCAACTAGTCCAGGTGTGGTAACCACAAATCCTTATGCTAATTTGTCATCACAAATAACTGGAAACAGTCCAAACACAACGAACATTAATTTAAACGGTGGAAGTGGGAATTGTAGCACTGGTAGTCAAAATGATGAATCTGAATAATTAATTGTTCAAGAATAATTTAAGATTTGGGAAGGACTATTGTTTTTGCAAACATTTTTATATATTTATTTTGAACACTATAATGGACGATTTATTAACTTGACTCTAACACGCTTGTGTATCCAAAAACAAACAAAACAAAAAAAGACTTTATCATAGCAAATCAAAAAAAAAAAAAAAAAAAAAAAAATCCTTTTCTATATATATTTATTTTTACAAAGAATTTTCTGCAACAGGATTCCTCTTTTAATTTGGGAGATAATTTATTGCGTGGGATTGTAGAGTTCTTATTTATATCGTAAGTAGCTGAAGTAAATTATACAAATCTATTTTTTATTCGAGAATATATATTGCTTTTAAAAAAAAATATACAATTTTATACTCGCTTTTACCGCGGGTCATGTGAATATTTTTTATGGGACTCTTTGTAATCAATCTTTCTTTATTGTAGTTGGAGGATGGTACAAATTGATTTCTCAACATTTTTTTTTCTTCATACACATCTTCATACATTTTATATATACATTACTTCTTATCTATAAGTATTTTTTTTTTATCATTATATAAATATATATTCTTTTGCTTTTGTTTATGAGAGCCGCAGGTTCGGTATATGCGAAAGCTATTTGTAATTATTTGTATGTTTCTTTTTAGTCTTTATATGGTTATGGGATTGTATTTTTTAATAATATAAATGAAAGAAATTTTTTGCATTGCTTTAAGTAAAATTTGAACTTTAATTTATGAAAAATAGAATATTTATTTTATTATTATTTTTTTTTTTTTTTTCAAAATAAATATATTAGAAAATTTATTATACATTTATTTCAAAAAATAATTTACGTGATAATTTGCTGGCATTAAGATCTGCATATAAAATTTATTAAATATAACTAAATTTTAATCTATTAATCCTAATTTAATAAATTTTTCAAGATAATGTATTAAATTTATAATATAGTGTGAATTTTATTTTAGGTAAACAATAAAACCTTTTTATATTTATCCCTCTTAGAATCATAATGAAAATTTGTATTTAAAGAGGATATATATTTATAGAAAGAAATTTTATATGATCTTTATTTCTTTAATGGTTTTCAAAAAGAATTTTCTTACTATTTAAAGTTAATTTTAGAATTATTAAAAATTAGTTAACAAAAAAATTTAATAAAATCAAAAATATATATATATAAATTAATTAGTAACTTTTTGTATTAATTTAAGATCAATGTTTTAAATATTTTAGTAAATTGCAATTAGTTTGTAACTAGTAATAAATAAGTATTATTAAATTATAAATAATAGCATTATAAAAATCATATAAAAAATTTGCTAAAAAAATGGAATTCTGAGAATTTTAATAAAAAATACTTAAATTCCATTTTCTAGCAATTCTCCTATATTATAATAAATTATAATATTATCTTTTATTATCTTTAGCTATAATAATAATTATTTATAACTAATTGTAACTAATTTACAACTTATAAAAATAATAATTATAATTATGTGTCAATACAAAAAGATTTGTATCTTAAACAAAAACCAATAAAAAATTTTTTAACATATAAATTTTTTTTTATTTAATTATATTAATACATATTAGGATGATATGATATAAATATTAAATTATATCACGTAATCCTTATCAGAATCATTATGGCCATCAAATTCTTCATCAGTTAAATATACTTTTCATCAGACTCAAAATAATTCTTAGTATTTTAAGTGATCTTTTCCAAAACCCAATGATAACTTGTAGATTAACTTTTTTTAAATACATCTAAAAGATATTTCTAATAAATAAAAGGTTTAGATATAGTCCTAAACATTGTCAACGTCTGAAATCAACCTTACTGCGCTGATCATTGATGACCTATGGAATGACGACGTAATAAGTACTGTGCCA